GGGGAATAGATTCATCACAGACAGAGACTCAGGAAAACACACAGCATCACCCCCACTCACTGATCCCCTCCCCCTGACCACACCCATCAGTCTCAGACATTCCCAAATATATCCATTGGAAAATTCAGGACTCTGTCCCCTCTCAGAGAGTATCATGGAGATATATACGGCACGGAAACAGGCCCTTCGGCCCATCCAGTCCATGCTGACCACAATCCCAAATTAAACTAGTCCCACCTGCCTGCTTCTGGCCCATATCCCTCTAAACCTTTCCCTATTCATGTACTTATCCAATTGTTTTTTTTAAAACGTTGTAACTGTACCCCATCCACCACTTCCTCAGGAAGTTCATTCCACACACAAACCACTCTCTGTGTAAAAACATTGCCCCTCATGTCTTTTTTAAAAACTCTCTCCTCTCACCTTGTTTTGAAATCCCCCTACCCCAGGGAAAAGACCCTTGTGATTCACTTTATAAAATCATTAGGGGTTCAGATAAGGTCACCCCTCAGCCTCTGACGTTCCAATGAAAAAAGTCCCAGCCTATCAGCCTCCCCTTATAACTCAAACCCTCCACTCCCTGTAACATCCCGGTAAATCTGCTCTGAACCCTCTCCAGTTTAATAATATCCTTCCTATAACAGGGCGACCAGAACTGGGCACAGTGCTCCAGAAGACGCTTCACCAACGTCCTGTACAACCTCAACATGACGTCCCCAACTCCTGTACTCAAAGGTCGGAGCGATAAAGGTGCTAAACACCTTCTTAACCCCCTGTCTACCTGTGGCGCAAACTTCAAAGAATTATGGACCTGAACCCCCAGGTCTCTCTGCTCTACAACATTACCCAAGGCTCTGGAACGAAAGAGATCAAAGATTACGAGGAGAAAGTGGGTTACGGTATTGAGCTGGAAGATCAGCACTACAACACTACCCTATTTTTAATTGTATAAGCTTGGCTGGGAATAAAGTGGGACCAAACCATATCAGGATGTCACGGGCACTGGATAAATGCAGTTGTTGTTGTGAAATCAGCAGGGCTGAGGAGATTTCATTGATCCCCATCCTGACAAACCCACACCCCCCAACCTTTTCCGAAGGTGTGGAATCTCACTCTGTGTCTGACTCACACCAAGCAGTTAACAGAGAGAGCAGTACCGTACCTTCCTGTAGCTCGGGACAGTGTAGAGGACGTAGCCTCGCTGTTTGACGTAGGCCTCGAAGAGAGGTGACCAGGGCGCCTCTCCGCAACAGTAATCCGTGATCAGTAACTTACCCCCAGGCTTGAGCCAGGCCTACAAAAAGAACACACAGCGAGATGGGGGGCTGCTCCCACATTACAGAGTCACACTGATACCATCAAACTCAGTCAGAAACCAGCCCGAATAGACCCTACTACCCTGCCCCTCACCGAGGGTCAGCGCTGAGGGAGCGCCGCACTGTCGGAGGGTCAGTGCTGAGGGAGCGCCGCACTGTCGGAGGGTCAGTGCTGAGGGAGCGCCGCACTGTCGGAGGGTCAGTGCTGAGGGAGCGCCGCACTGTCAG